GGTAGAGTGCCATGGCATCATGCTCACAGCAACCTCCCAAGGAGCTGGGACTACCCGCGTCCGCCACAACGCCTGGCCATTTTTTGGTTGCAGCCATCGTTGTTGTTTGGCGGGCCCAGGCTGGGGATTCGAACCTGCCACCTTAGGTGTATGTGGTTGGCGCCTTAGCTGCTTGAGCCACAGGCGCTGAGCCTGCCCTAGTTTTCAAACAGAAACCTTGCTGCCACTGATCATTGCCTCAGCCAGTTCTACTGGTGGGAATATGACATATGCCTCAAGTATGTTGGGATATATTAAAGGTTGAGAACCCCTATGCAGATTAATTGGGATGCCACAAGAAAGAAGGGTTGTTAACCTGTTTCAAATTACTATTAACACATTGTAATAGTAATTTTACTATGGGTCCACACATAATTTTACCTTGGGTCCACAATGTATTACTAGGTTAAGAGATGTGTGAGTTATATATGCTTTATGAGGCCCCAGGCTCAAAAGTGGTATAAGTTAAATACAACTTAGAAATGGCAGTTAATGTTAAAATTACCCTAATCTTCACATTCATTTATAAGTCTACTCTTTGAGATTTATCTTAATTCTGTTTTGTTTAATTTTGAGTTTTGATTGCCTCATTAGTAAGCCATTCCTTTTCCAGTCTTGGCATTTTCAAATACACATTTTAAAAATCTTATGCTGATTTGTCTGCCTTTTCTCTTTCACATTTTCTTTTGCCTGAGTTTATATAGCAGACTTGAAGTTGGCCTACTTCATAAAGTCTTTTGGCAGTGTTTTACAGAAATTCTGTTACAGTGCCAGTGGCTTTAAAATTTCCTTTTTCTTTTCTTTGCTTTTGGCCAAAAGAACCATGGTATTCTCCTGTAAATCAGTTTCTCTCTACAGCTTAATTTTTGCGTCATGAGGCAAATTATAAATACATTTAGACAGCAGGTAAAATTTGTAGTACTTTAAATTATTATTATTTAACTTTGTTATAATATCCCAAAAGGTATATTGAGATATATACCTTTGATATTTTAATGTCATATCTATTATTGTGTTTTTAGCTAATACATAAATTTTTTCTCAAATGATTGTATAGTTAGAATAATAGCAAAATGATTTTTGAATGTTGTTATCATATCGCTGTTTTTACATAATGGTTGCTTTGTTGCTATTTTCTATTTGGGAGGAACTCTAAATGGATATAATATTTTGTCTAATATCCAGAGACATGATAGTCGGAGCTCATTTACAGCCAAAAGGCTCATAAAGCTAGAGGAAACAAACTAGGAGATGGCATTGAGCACAATTAAATCTCAGGGTTCAGGTAGCCTCTTCAGGGCTTTCTGCCCCTTTTGGCTCTGCTTCCTTTAGGGTATTATAGTCCATAACCTATACTATCTCAGCTCAGTGACTCCAGGGAGGAGCGCTTCATTCCCAGCATCTGAATTAAAAGTTCCAGAGGACTTTGATTAGCTCAGTTTGAGTGACATGTCCTTCCTTGGATCAATTACTGTGTCCTAGGGAATAGAGTAGAGCAAATAACCCTTCTCTGTGGCTTGCTGACTTGCATACTGTGGCAGACAGGCAAAAGTGCCCTGTCCACTTAAGCACAGGCAGGTGATGACAGGCTGTGTTTGGCCCTATTAAGTCAAATTAAAGTGTTAATATTTGCATTTTGAAGCTATCTTTGATGGCATGTAGACTAAATTAGAAGGGGACCAGAGGGTTGCCAGGGTTGCCAGTGAGGAGACTGTTGCAATAGTTTACATAGGAGATAATAATAGTTTAGTATTGTGGCAGTGAAGATGGTAGAGACTTAAGTGGATTTTCAAGATACATTTAGAAAGTATGGTTCTCAAAACTTAAGGCAAATCACATTTGGAAGATGTTAAAGAAGATAGTATTATTGAAGAGGAGAGAGTTATTTAAGATGATACCAAGTACTTATGCTAATTGTCAGGCAAAATTAATTAGGATCTCTGTAAATTCCAAATTTAACAATTGTTTAACTATTTGTTATAGATCGAGTGTTGGTTCGGGTTAAAGACTTGACAGCACAAAGAGCTGATGAAGTTCTTTGGGTACGTGCAAGAGTTCATACAAGCAGAGCTAAAGGTAAGATTAATGATTAAAGTCCTTTTGGTAAAGATTCTGAGTTTTTTATCTTGCACATTTTTTTTTTTTTTTGAGACAGTCTAACTATGTCGCCCTTGGTAGTGTGCTATGGCATCACAGCTCAGCAACCTCAAACTCTTAGGCTTAAGCGATTCTTTTGCCTCAGCCTCCCTAGCTGGGACGACACCTGCCACAGCACCTGCCACAGCGCCCAGCTATTTTTTTTATTGTTGTAGTCATTGTTTGGCACAGTGGCTCTCAACCTTCCTCATGCCATGACCCTTTAATACAGTTCCTGTGGGTTGCGACTAACAGGTTGAGAACTGATGCCAGGTCTGGGTTGAGTTTGACCTTAACAACCCCAGTGTATGTGGCTGGTGCCCTACCCAAGTGAATATAGTGTTTTTGAGAAGCCTGTCATGTGTATTAATATTCTTATTTTTGTAATTACATAGGTGAAGACAGAAGTGAAATAATAGAAATAAGGGTAAGATTGAGCTATTCAGGCCAGGCACAGTGGCTCACACCTGTAATCCTAGCACTCCGGAGGCCGAGGTGGTTGGATTGCCTGAGCTCACAGGTTCAAGACCAGCCTGAGCAAGTTTGAGACCCCTGTCTCTTAAAAAAAAAAAATACCCTTCATTGTGGCAAGCCCTCTACTTGGGAGTCTGAGACAAGAGAATTGCTTGAGCCCAAGAATTTGAGGTTGCTGGGGGCTGTGAGGCCACAGCACTCTACCAAGAGCAACAAAGTAAGACTCTGTCTGAAAAACAAAAAATAGATTGAACTATTCCATGGAGTATAAAACTGGCCATATGTAGATATTTAAATTACCTCAGTCACACTAGCTGTATTTCAAGAGTTTAAGGACACATGTGGCTAGTGGCTCTCACGCTATACAGATACCACAAATACAGAATATTTTCATCACTGTTGAAAGTAGTTTTGCTGCACCAAGCATGATGACTCACCATGTAACCCTACCACTCTGGGAGGCCAAGGTGGGTAGATTGCTTTAGCTCAGGAGTTCAGAGACCAGCCTGAGCAAGAGTGAACCCTGTTTCTTTAAAAAAAAAAAAAAAAAAGAAGAAGAAGAAGAAAAAGAAAGATAGAAAGAAAGGGAGGAGGAGGAAAAGGG